ACCCAGACCTGACCCAGACCTGACCCCAGACCTAACCCAGACCTAACTCAAAGGTAAACCTCTCAGAGATAACCCTCGCAGAGATTACTTCCGCAGAGATTACCCGCGCAAAAATAACCCACGCAGAGATAACCCTCGCAGACTAAAGATAAAAATAAAAATAAAAATAAAAATAAAAAAAGAGAAAGGAAATAAATATTAATTAATTCTATACGACGATTCATTCTTTTTTTCAGTTTTTTTTTTTTATTGTATCTGCTCAGAAATGAATACACAATTTTACCGATAAGATCGAAGAATTGGATCAAGAGTCTACAGAAAAAAATTTGTTATATATAGTCTGTTATTCGAATATCGTGACAAGAAATTCCATTTATTCTTTCGACACGTATGAGTGACATAAATCTATCCTGCACATTATTTATCGACGATTCATCGATCCACATGCAAATACGGAACATAACAACGAGAGTTAGTGACAACGACGATGACACTTTAACGGGTACGCTAGTTTTGCACGTACCTAGTCAGGGCACCTAAGATGGTCGTGATTCTCTTTCCCATAAGGCTTTAAACATGCTCTGATAGTTTCGTTAAAATTATTCCACTTAGGATATGAGATATTACACATACAACAGAGAATAATAGTGACAGAGGTGCCGTTTAAAAATTTGTTTGTCGCAAGAGCCGATGATAATGGCCGAACCCATTGTTGGGTATTACAAACGATACAACTACAGTTACATAGATACGAGTGTAGAAATTACCATCTAGCAGGTACGTATTAGAGAAGCGTTGTTCCCTCGAATCTCGATATCGATATCGATGCTTCGAAAGAATGATTGTCGTCTCCTGTTCGCGCGCGGTACGTACATAGTTGCATGATATGCGCGAACAGACCGCAAAGGAAAATTAACGAATGGCTCGCGACGTGTCAACGATCCATCGAGTCGGTGATACGGTGATGGCGATCGACACCAGACACTTTTCATTTGTTTTCTTTTTATCGTTAGAAAAAAATTGATCGAAATAACACCGGTGATGTAGGAAAAAGACGAACCATCGAATTTTCATAGACTTCTGGCTCGAATCGAAACCCGTCAACGAGCACTCGCTAAAGTTCAATGATTGTCCACGATTGTCCAGAATTGTTTACGCTCGTGATTCGAAATAATGGATGATAATTCCAAGAACGAACCTTAAGGACACTTGACTTGGTAAGGTTGCATGCCTGCGGAGCAACGGTTCCATCGATCGTATTTACTACATTTTAAAAAAACGTTAACACGCCTCCCCGACCCTTTCTTCGAACCGTATGTACGCGATATGAAATATTGCCCCACCAGCCTATGTAAAGAAAATTAAATATATAGTATATTATGAAAATATAATACTCGTGGTAACGTCGCAAGATCGCATTGAAATTTACAAATTGATATTCGTTGCAACAGCTTCTCGAGAATTAAACAACCGCTCGAGTTCTCTTATCCGCTTATTTCTCTTTCTCTGCATCTAACCAACGATAAGCCCGTTTCTAACCCTTTTTCTTTTTACGCTGATGCACGTCAACGCACCACCGACGAATTTCACACATAAACATATTAAATACCGATTCTACATACATACATACATACATACATACATACATGCATACATACATCTCTATCGTATCGAGGAAAATTTACAAGTCGCTCGAGGAACGCAAATGTTGCCAGGTGTATATACCCTTCGCGTACACCATTACGCGTACTTAGGAATGTGTACGTTTGATATGTATGGTTGACACAAGATACGCGCTATGTAAGTATACTATACAGACATCTATAGACTTTCATCGCGAGTTACAAACATTTACGTCCCATTTATAATTTTATCCAACTCGTAATCGTATCCAACCCTCATTGTTCAACCTTAACTTGCTTCTTCCATGTTTACTCGGTGTACGGTGGGTGTGTAGTACATTGGAAAACAGATGTTTTCTTTACATTTATGTAACGCGTGTCATTCTCGTACCTCGTCAACTTAACCCACTATATAACAGTTACATTCGAGCTATATAGCTGCTGCTATGCGATTACGTTCACAGGAAATTATTTTTTTTTTTTTTTTTTTTTTTTTACGCAACATTTGTAGTACACAACAATTGACATAAAGTTCTGAGATTGCGAATAAACTATCGCAGAAACAGAAAAAAGAAGAAAAGGTTCTCGCCGATCCAACCTCATCTTTGATTAGGCTACGATTACTTGAAAGTGTGCATAGGAAGGACGTAATGTAACGATACTTTCGATGCGTATAGAAGTACGCGGACGATACGCCTCTACTCTCTCGTATATACTTGGTACGATAGAATAGAAGAGCGGTGGTCGATACGTAGAAATGATACGAGCTACGATCGAGATTAGGCCATTTTATAATGTCTAGAAACCTTCGATCTCCAACGAAGAATATAAAAGTGTTGTTCGTTGGGAAACATTCTCATCGATGAATGTTTAGGCTACGTGTGCTCTCTCGGGAAACACGGATTGTCCTAGTTTGTATTTTCCTTCCTTGTTCGTTTCTTCGTTTGTCGCTTTCTTCGAGTATTATCACAAATACGCCGTCATTTCGGATCAAGTTTTAGTGGCGTCGAACTGGTCACGTTAACGTCTAAGAAACTGGTACTGTAACCAGATGCAACGTAACAACAATTACTTGACGCTCAACACCGAATCCACGAACAATTAATCACACGAATCATCGTCGACCGATCCATCTTCTCGATCGATCGATTCGACTCGCGTCTACTCGCTGGAGAATACTAACGCTTGGAAGTTGAAAACAATTTGTGTAAAGAAATACTAGGAATCGAGTGTTTCGATCATGTCGATCCATTGGTCGATTTAAAATTTAAAGAGGTATCGTGTACTTGGATTACGTAGTGTGATAGTCGGCAAGTAACGAAGGAAGGAAGAGTTGCGGTAAAAGCTAGAGGAGTATGTTATCGTTGTATCTCCGAAATGATAACCAACGCGCGTCGATCCGTGGAAATTCTCGTTCCGATGACAATTTCAACGGAACGCATTGATGAAAAGGAAAACAAATATTTATAAATGATAGTTTACTAAGAAAAAGAAAAAGAGAAAGACTGTAACAACTAAGCGTGAAAGAGAAAATATTTGGCCGTCCACGTAATCGAAACGGCCGCCTCCACGGTGTAACGTTTCTCTATTCCGGAAACCTTAATCTTTTCTCTCTGCATTGTTCTCCATCTTACCATCAGATACATTTGCGATTGCCGAATAAGGACTGACCAATATTTTCTGCATTCTAGGTAGCGATAGTAGATTACGATATTGCCAAGATCTGGAACGAAAGGGTAAAAAAGAAAAAAGAAAAAAGAAAAAAAAAGAACACGACGCGCGGCGACGATGGATAAGCTAGTGAATATCCTTACACTTTAACGAAGGGTCAGTGGGAAGGCTGTCCCGGTAGCTGGAGTAATGGACAAAGTGTTGGTGGTTGTAATGGTGGTCCATTGAGGTTGAGGCAGATTGGGGGTTGTTGTCTTACCATGCTCGTTCCGAATGTTCCGACCTGTTGAAGCAGCCCGGCGCCCTGCTGGGAGGACGTCGAGGAGACGGATGGACGTCTCGAGCTTCGTATACTGTTCATACTTGAATTGAGCAAATGTGGAACGCTGCTGCTGGTGATCGGCATGCCACCACCCTATCGAATTCACACACATATTGTTTATTCCGTTTTACTTATCGTTTAATCCACTACCGCGTATACGTAGCTATTATATGTACATACACATGTAGGATCCCAGAATCGTTTCGAAAAGAGAAAGCTTAACGAGCAAACCATACAGGCGTACCACCATATCCCGTAGTAACCTATTCAATTGTTATCTTTTTATCAAACTTTATCCACTTTTATTGATCCCACATATGTATACGTATCGACAAGTAAACACGCGACATTTAACCCTTTCCATATGGAAATTACGTACGTATATTCGATCGATGGTCGTTCTCGGTCAGAGAAAGAACCGTATCGAAAGGGTCGAGTATAATCGATACGATAACATGCAAAAATGAAAAATGAAAAATGAAAAATGAAAAATGAAAAATGAAAAAAGAACTTGTTGCAGTTTTTGGAGAAAAATATTGCTAGAACAAAGGCCAAGTACTATACCGTGGGAGGAGATAAATTTATACTCGATCCCCGACGATCTTGAGAACCGGTACTCGAGTGACGCCGGAACGCCAAGGTTCCAGCCGGTGTGCCACCAGGCGAACTTGCACACGACGGTGCTACTCGTATTTTCGGTGCCATCAGAGTATTGTCCGATAGACGTCTGTTTGGAAAAACATTGGCTACTCGGAGAAAGTTACTGTCGTTGTTCGACGAAGACCACCAAAACATGCCACTTATCGAATTCTTTCTCGCCATATTCTCGGCCGAAGCTGTCATCGATATGGAATCTGTACAACGAATAAAACCACCCATGTTTAACGATTCATGAAAATTCATCGAGACCAACGAAAGCCGATAATTCGTCTTACCGATACTACTCTTCCTGGCCATATCTTCGGCGGAAGAGGTTTTACGCTGTTCTATGCGTAGATTCGGTATATTAAAAGGCGGCACGTGTACGTTATCCGTACTATATTGATGTCGCAAGTTGCGATGATGATGTCTTTCCAAATTATCTAAAGTCAAGTGAGTTCTTTGATGTCTGTTTAATGAAAGGAAAAAAGTGTGATCGTTACCGAACCAGATTTCGTAATATTTTTCATCGAAAACAATTAAACAAGTTCACCTCTCTATAAGACAAAGCATATCCTGCAACACTTTCAACAGCAACTCGAATTGCTCGAGATTTAACGCAAGGTTGATTGTTTGAGGTAACAAACTCGGCATTGCCCGAGTTGCCATCCAACTCACCGATAGCCCATACTTTTTATCGGTTAACATTAATCTGTAAATTTCTGCCAAAATGTCAAATAACCATCGTTATTACCGTTATTATCGATCGATTAGTTGTTAATAAAAGTGACGAACAAAACGAAACGAAACGAAACGAAACGAAACGAAAATCTGATAGATGCGAGTGCTTTATTACATTGTACCATTTGTATGTATAGCGTCGTATATACATACATGTACATATACATATACGTATACTCACTTACAACCTGTACAATCACCTCAGGATCTTGTAACTTCACGTTAAACAATATCGGTAAAATGCAATCTATGACTTTTTGCTTTTCCAAGCGACTTAAAATGCAAGGAATCACGTTCAAAAGTGTCAGACAATCTATGGTACTTTTCTGAAAGGCTACAACTAATTTCGGCAGTATTATATTTCGAATTGCGTCGTCCTCTATGTACTGAGTCACATTCGACACAGCTACGAACGCCGCTGTCTGCGAAACAGAAATTACGCTATTCTTTCGTATATCAAGTATTTTTGATTCTTTATCGTTACGTTATCCACGCACCTGCACCTGAATTGTTGAATTCTCAAAAGACGTATACAACATTGGTAATACTTCCTTCTGCACGTATTCTCGAGGAGTTTTATTCAATATCAAATGCAATTTTTCCAACAGCGTTACCGTTCCTTGAATCGTTTTGCGATTCGCCAAAAGTAACCTACGACAAATCTCGTTACGCAAGCGTGCAACCGTAACTAAACAAGTACGTAGAAACGATACGCGCTTTCCACTTTCCAGACTCACGAGCTTACGATAGCTACAAATAAGTACATAGAGACACGTAGACGGTCGCGCTTACCGCAACGTTGGAAATAAGATCCGATCGTACTCCTCTTGAGTACTGTTCTGGACGATGTACAGCACAGGTTGTAGTACCGCGGATTGGACTTCTTGTCCTTCCAATTCGTTTTGTAAATACGTCCAAATATGTTGATACCACAATTTCTGTGAATGTTTAAACACGTGGGTCGATCTAGGTACCACGCGCGTATCGCGACAACTACGAAAGCTGTTTATTTGCGAGCCGTTAAATGTTCCGATCTGGTGGATCGATGAATCGATGGATCGATGGATCGATGGATCAACTTTCGTACTTTTCGATATACACGTCTACATACGTATCGATATCTGTGATATGTCTATCGCGTCGCGATTACCTTTGGGGTATAGGGCAAGATTTCCATTAGGGTAGTTGTGTAGAAATGCTCTTTTTGAACCACGTCTTTCATCTTACTTATGTCGAGAAATTGTAGTGCGTGGACCGGAGGGTCTCTGAAAAATAATCAAAGTCTTACCGGATTGCAAACATTCGTTTTTCAAGTAACCTTTACGTACTGAAAATATTTAATCATCGATAAAACCTGCGCTATAGGCCGATTATCTGGATCGACGTCCAATAGATGCGTAACGGCGTCCTGTAGAGGAAGCGGAATTACGGGCAATATCGCGGCGACTTTTTCCTTGAGCTGCGGTGCAACAGAACCAAAAATACCCCTTTGGGACCACGAAAGCAAAAGCGAAAGCGAAAGAGAAAGCAAAAGCGAAAGAGAAAACGCAACTCTTGGAAACAACCGTGTTTCCACCGAGAACATTTCTTTCGCAACCACACGAAAACAAAAGCTGCAAACAAACCTGCTCAATTTGCTTCAGATACTCTGAACAACTGTTATTTGCTTGGACAAGCGGCCGTCCCTGGTTGAAAATCGCGCATATAGTCATGCCGAAACTGTACATGTCGCTGTAAACGCTTCCCACCTTCTTTTGCTGAATCTCGGGAGCTACGGTCACGACACCATCATTTCTTTCTTACAAGAAACGCTTGCTTTCCAAACTTTGCCAATACCGACAGCATCGTGGTCTACGATATATGCTTACCTATATAGTCGAGATTCGGCTGTGCCATTTTTGGCACGTTACTGCTCCATGGTTGCAATGATATAAAACCATCGCCGAATTTTTCTACAAACAGGTACAAAGAAACAAACGAAATAATCGATAGAACACGACGTGACGCGACGAATCGAGAATCGAAAGCAAAAATAATGGACGACTCACCAAAAAATTCAAAGCCGGCCAACTTCCATGTACCGGTCTTGGTGATTATAATACTTGCAGGGCAAACATTTCTATGGAGAATTTTTGAAACTCCGTGCAGAAATAGCAGGGCCTCGGTAATCTAAAGCGAACAGACAAACTTAACAGAGATACGGATATGTATACTATTGTTATCAAAAAATTCCAAGACTCTTCAAATTTCCCTCTTTTCGCGGAAAAATTCCATTTTTCTAGCAAAATTTCAAACAAATTCTTTGCTGAATTCTTTCTATACATTCTGAAATGCCACTAAGAAGCACCTTTTTAGATTAAAAGAAACAAACGAATCTCAACGACTATTGCACATTTCAACATACAGTTTGACACACATGTCTCACAGAGTGCTAGCAAACTAACAAAAAGAACAAAGAAATTAAATCCTTTCGATAAGCGTACGCAATTTAAATGAAAAAGTGTTGCCGTTCGTGTTGATCACGGTAGTAAATATACCGATCGAAAGAACCAGAGGTGATCGAATCAAAGACGATAATTCAATCGATATGTAACCCTCTTACCTGCAATAGACCATACTTGATCTCGATATCTAACAAATTGTAATCTTTCGCGTAGGCGGCACGACTGCTGCTCGAAGAAATTTGTCTCGTTTGAGCATTTATGTGTTGCTGCTGCTCTTGATAGGCCAAAACATTGGCAAGACTTGCCAACACTGGCTCCGAAGCGAAAGCCAAAGTACTCATGTATTCGTTTACTTTGTATACCTGCGATTAAAGAAAAAATAACGATGGATTTGATGTTTAAAGGTGTAGTAGATGTTTAAAACGTGAGACATTCCAGCGTAATTCTAACCTGAAGGATTTTTGGATGAGGGAAACTTTCCAGTTGTTGTAGTCCATATCTTAAAATGTCCGTCACGCTTACTTTTTTACGCTTAAGTTTATTAGGCTTTTCGACCGATCTTTTGTCGAATAAAAATATCGATATTTCCTGCAATCGATCCAACGAATCGGTTGATAAATTGATAAACGTATCGAGACACCGACTACCGTATCTACACATGTATGCACCTACAACGTATCGCGTTACCGATACCTCACCTTTCCGTCCGCTTTCCTGCGTCCATCGTATATACGCCACGCGTTCTCCGGACCAGCTGTGGCCGACTGTTTTCCCACGTCGTATAAATTTTGCAACGGATCCGTCAGTAGAACATTCGGTATTTCGTTGCTCCGTTTCGACTTGGCAAACATAACGAGAAAATCTGAAAACGTTAATCCTGACCGTTCAGTCGATCACCTTCGATCGAATGTGTCCGTATATACCCTTGTACGTACTGTTGTACGTTTATATCTATGGCTATGTATACATGTAGTACACTTACTACCGCTCTTGTTCCTTGCGTACCTCGATTATCGTTCCTTTCCTCTTTCTACGATCGCTTTTAAGCTATTCGCTGAGCACACCTGCGGAAACAAAACGATCTAGTACCTAGACGAACCTTCGAAATCATTTGACCTCGTGCCGACATCGATCGTTGTTAAATACTGCTTAAACTTTTGTTTTTCACATCTCCTTCCGTCTCTTATAAATACATATGTAGATACTTTTCTTTACCGATTTTTATTCGTACCTCCGTACCATATGGCAACGCAAACATACGCGCAACGGTGTGTCGTACGTACGATCATTTCTTTACGATTGTATTTTATTCAACTGGATAGATGGAGATTGAATCCGGATACAGTTTCAATTCGCGTTAAAATTTGTCAAGAGATCTGAACGGTTGTTACACTCGTAAAACGCTCCATTCGTTCCTGTTTCTGTTTCTGTTTCTGTTTCTGTTTCTGTTCTTGTCAAGCTTAAATTCGACCACTTGTCGAGCATATCGAGATGAGGAAGACGCTCGTTGGAACAAACGGACCAACGGACGAACAAACGAACGCGCAAATGCCTGCCCCGTTCCAACGTACAAAAAACCTCTAAACCTTTCTATTATACGAATTAAATAACTGCCAAATTTTTATGCGAACGTTCCAACGAGTTAATCCTTTAAGCAAACTTAAGGATTTTCAAATGGTTAAAGAAACGATAAAGTCGGTCATCTCGAGATATCGTTCAAGGTCCATCCAAGGAATGGAACTGAGGAGCTATGCTCGATAACAGTTTAACGCATCCTGCGCCGGAGAAACTCGATCGATTCGTGTTTCGTCCAATTTGTCAGGAACTTGCTCGAAAAGACCATCTAAACTAATGTGTTAACGAACGCGGGCTATTAGAATAAATGAGACGAGAATAGAGAAAAACATGAATTCAGAACGCGAAAAGAACGAATGCAGTTGAAATCGAAGAATGGCTCACCTGTTGCGGACGATAACGCGGATCGTATACCTCTCGCGTAAAAGCAGCACTATATGCAGCACGAACAACCCGAAAGAAGGGTTGTGTGCGCCAAGGATAGTCTGCGGTAGCTCGGAGAACGCGCGCGCCGTTCAGGAACGCGCGAGAAATCCAAAGGAACGGCCGAACGTGAATTGATGCACGATTACAACACGGCAACCGCACCGCACCGCACCGCACCGCACCGAACCGCACCGCACCGAACCGAACCGCACCGAACCAAACCGAATCTACCGTCTATACAAATTGCGACGTGTCCTCTCTGTCCTCTGTCCTCTCGACAACCATCGCTGCTTACTCTCCTCCTGGGATTTTCTCGGGTCCTGTTCCGATAATTCTTGCCGTTTCAGGGGAGTATGACCCTCCAAATGCAACCCCATCTTTTTCTCGGATACTTACCTTCTACGTATCACGAAGCTAAAACGTTAGATGGCGCTATTTCAAATTGACGGTAGCTTATTTATTCGATCGACGTTACATTTGACCGAATCATCCAGTCATTTAAATACGATATCCAACGTATTGCTCGACGACTTTCATTTCAACGTTCTCGACGCGATGACACGTCATTGTTGACATACAAAGTACCGTTCCGCAAAGTCATCGATGCGAAAAATTTGCGATCAACTAGTTCAACAACCACGCATGCGTGAGCCCTGGTTCCGGCTCCTGGCTACAGCTTTGACTACGGTTTTGACCTCGGCTTCAGCTCCGGACCCGACCCGATCCCAACCCACTGACCTGGGAAACCGCGTATACATACATATAACGCGCATATACCTGATGGACCGAGTATGACCATGACCGAAAGTAGGGACAACTGACTAACTTGTAAAGCTGTAAGCCGTAAGACGAAAGACATGGCGACTATAAAAATGGGGAGAAAATGTGCGCGCGCGAGTCAGAGAGGGGCTGCGAATAAATAGGAGAAAATGAAAATAGACCAGAGTTACTTCGTCAGCCGATTACATCCTGCGCCTTATTTACGCGCAAGAAAAACAACTTGGCGACGATCGAGTTTACGAGTGGTCGATAAACAATTACAGGATCGATTATCCCCATCATTTATTAGAAAATAAACAGTTTTGATCAACAAATTCGGTTGCAAAAAACAATAAACATTGCTTTACGTTTGCTTTTATTATTATACCTATACGTGGCGTTTTCATTTACTTGGCCATTTTTCCAATTTCGAGATTCAACACAACAACGATAACACATCCATTCTATGCGCTCCTCGTCCACACAAACGGAATGTCACGTCACACATTCACTCACCGTCGCTATCCTATCCCTTCCCAGTTCCCATAGACATCCCCTCCACCGCAACGTCAACGCTCATTTTCTCCTTCTCGCTCTCGCTCTCTCGTGGACGTGTTTATTATAAACGCCGCACTATCGCTACAATCGCACCTTCGATCTGTTACAATTTTCTCGATGAGAACTTTTTCCACGTGCCATAAAAGGAAGATTTACGTATCTTCGTTCAGGTTCCTCTCCCCTTGCCTGCCTGTACGTCAACTTCTCTGGCGCAGTCTTCGTTTCTGTCATCGCCTCTGTTTCAACTGTCATAGTCGTAGTCTCGCTACGCTACGCCATTCAACCCTCGGACGTTTTCCTTGTTTGATTTTAGACAGTAAATAAGATTCGTTTGTTCGCTGCATGGGAGGCATTAATTCGCGGACTATGGACATCGAACATGATCCAGGGCTTGCCGCTGTCTTGCAATATTTGATACGCAGGTTGGTCGATTGTTATTTCCTTGACGAAAAATTGAACATCGTTTAAGAGTAGGACCTTTTCTCTGATCCGATTCGGATATTCTCTATACAATCTGTATCCGTATCTATATATTATATATTTCTACACACGTTCGTTCAATGAAATTGGACGGGAAGAAAAAGAGGAGAAGAATTCTAACCTCTCTACGTATATGCACCGAGCGAATATATCAACTTGAATTCTCCAAGCAAACTGTTTCCTTCTCTTGGAACGATTGTTCGTTTCGTGCTCGTTTCGCCGTCTTCTCCGAAACAAATTCATTAATATCTCTGATCCGTCTTACGTTAGTCTTCCAAGCTCGTACAAAACTCCTAACCTTCTCGATCCATCTCTTCGACTTCCACAGGAATCGAGAGTATAACTCTTTTCGTTCCATCGTTGCAGCGGCCAACTGCACATCATATCCTCGGATCACGATGACTCGGACGAAGAATATGCCGCGAATTCACAGCCGCCGAGAATCACATCTTTGCCGAACACGTCCAGGCTAGATGTTCGTTATTTTTCTATACGCGACACGATTGCTCGCGGATGTAGTTTTACGTGGTATGTTTTTTTTTTTTTAGAAAAGTGAAATAAGTCTCGCCACCAAACTAGCATCTGGATTTATTAACGACATTGATAAATCTAACCTCTCCGTGACGTCGATGATTCAAAGAAGAGCTTTAGGTCTTGGTTTCAGTACGGGAGAAAGATGCAGAATAAGTAGTAATTTTCTGCCCAATACCCTGCAACCGGTAGCTAGATATAACGCCAAAGCATTTTGTGGTTCTTACTCCAAAGATGGAAGATTTTTCTTGACTGCTAGTCAAGGTACGTTTCCCCGAAACCCTTGTATATGCTTTGTCTCTTTTGTACGTAGTAGTGAGATACAATTTTTTTTACAGATAAATTTCTGCGTCTTTATCAGACGCATAACGGAGATTTTGTAAGATTTAAAACGATTCCTGCACGAGACGTTGGCTGGAGTATTTTAGATACAGCGTTTAGCCCCGATGGCAATTATATCGTTTATTCGAGTTGGTCGGAATATTGTAAGTACAGTTTATCCATCGAGAAAACTTGTCCGTTAATCGCAGATACCGTCCGACGATACACCACTTATTCTTCCTTTTCAGTACATCTGTGTACAGTTTACGGAGAATCGGAGGTACAAGAATCGTTGCCGCTGTGTCCCGAGGATCGAAGGTTTTGCGTATTTTCTCTTGTATTTTCTAGCGATGGGCGAGAAATTTTGGGTGGGGCGAACGACGGTTACCTGTACGTCTACGACAGAGAATGTCAACAGCGTGCCTTTAGGGTTTGTATATAATGTTTTTCCATTCATTTTATATACTTATTACTTGGTGCTTGTTCATTTTTAGATCGAAGGTCACGACAACGACGTAAATACAGTTGCTTTTGCTGATAATACCTCCCAAATTTTATATAGTGCTGGTGACGATGGCCTCTGTAAGGTATTTTTTTCTTTCTTTTCTCACCTCTATAAACGCTTTTTATTCTTTTCCTTCTTTTTTTGCCTTGCCTCCGCCTCGTTTCGCTCTCTACCAACAACGCATTTATGCACACTTTTATTTCGTTTCCCTACCAATTTATTGGCATTTTTTTGTTTATTCAGGTCTGGGACAGAAGAACGTTAAATGAAAGCGATCCACATCCGGTTGGAGTATTGGCTGGTCACATGGATGGTATAACGTATATCGATCCACGTGGCGACGGTCGATATCTCATCACCAACAGTAAAGACCAAACTATCAAACTATGGGATGTTCGTGCATTCTCTGATCATAACGGTGAATTGAATACACGCAAGGCTGTTGCGAATCAAAACTGGGATTACCGATGGCAACGTGTACCGAAACGACGTAAGTAACGATCAATCGAGCATTTTTCGAAATTTCGTAATTTCGTAATTTCATTTTTTTGGTTTTTTCGTTTTTTCGTTTTTTCGTTACAGTCTACAAAGCGAGAACTATGTTGGAAGGTGACACCAGCGTTATGACCTATCGTGGTCACTCGGTGCTTCAGTCTCTGATACGATGTCACTTTTCTCCTTCCTCCATTACCGGTCAAAGATACATATACACGGGATGTGCTGCCGGACGAGTAATAAGTAGGTTCTAATTTTTCTTTATAATTTTCTTATAAAGAATATATATATATATAGGCAAGCGCGCGCGCGCGCGTGTGTGTGTGTGTTTACTAGTTGCTATACTGATTTCAGTATACGACGTATTAACGGGTAGGATAGTCAGTACTTTGACGGGACACAAAGCATGCGTACGCGACGTTAGTTGGCATCCGTTTCATCAAGAGATCGTCTCTACGTCTGTAAGTATTAAGCATGGAAAATACGATAAATCGCATCGTTTCCATAAATATACACGTAATTGGGATTTCAGTGGGATGGTGCGATTGTACGCTGGCGATACGCTGGGAAAACTAGCCTCGACGACTCCAATTCGGAAGAGGAAAGCGACGCGGAATCACCTCCGCCTACTTTAAGAAGAAGCGAACGAATAGCTGCTCAAAGAGCGAAACATGCGGCCGCGTGTTGAGTCGCGTAACGACCTCTCTACCGGATAAAACTGGATGTTCTCGGGATTTCAGTCTTTTCGTTCCTACGAGGAGGGAGTTAATGCTCGACACTTGTTGACAGGATATTTTTCTAATCGATGACACTTTTATTCATCGACGTTCGAGAGACTAACTTTCTTCTACAAGACTGAGCTATTATCAAACGTACACGCCTCTAAGGAATCAACGTTGTGATATTCTGGCCACCTCGACGATGCGTCATTGGAGAGTGTCTTTAAGATGACAGTAAATTACACGGTACATAGCACTCAGAGTGAACGACACATTCTCGTAAAACCAGAGACCAACACACTTTTAACCCGTTATCGAACGATACTTGATTCTTTTCCCTTTGAATCGCTTTTATTTTTTCAATAGGATCCTAGCGAAAAATCCTCTCTATCCTTTTATGAGAAAAATTACATACGAGTAACAAGAATCCTCTATTATTATTTTGTTTAATCTTAAGGGGTATCTTTCTCCGATCAACCGGAATACATATCATTTTAATTGTTTGCAGCCGGTTCTAGTTCTTTTTAGTTGTACAACAAAATTTTTATTACCAAAAATGTAGCGTCAGCGTGCACAGCGTGTTAATTTTGATGACAGCGGACAGGAGCGCGATAGGTTAAGAAGAGAAAAAGAGTGTTTTCGACGGTTCGACGGTTCGACGGTTCGACGGTTTTTCAAGTTGATTAAAAGTAAAAAGGATCATACGATAAATTATCAAGTATGTATGTGGTCTGTAAAGTACGTTTAAACATTGCATACAAACTCCCAAATATGTACATACACACAGATAACTTACGATATGTATGTGTGCGTGTGTGTATAATATATGTACATGTATACACACACATATATATATATATATATTTACATATATACATACGAATAAATTGTTAGATAATAATAAGGCAATTTTGATGTTTCATCGTTCGTTTCGAGAAACAGATTCGCGTAATCCTAGTATATTTGGTACCTCTTACAGATGGAACGTTAAGGTTAAAATAGCCGGTGAAATG